CCAAAAAAAAGGAGCCCCCACAATACGACAGTGGGGACAGTGACACCAGACACCGACCCGCCCGCAACCGCTCCCCCCCACCGAGGAAGAAAAAGAAATGAAAAAGAAAAAAGAAATAAATAAGTAAATAAATTAATTAATAAATTAATAATTACAATTAAAATAAATATGCAAGAGGAGAAATGCGAGCGGAAAAACCGGAGCCAAAAACAGGACCCAAGACTCGCACCCCACCATGCCGTGCAGCTCCCCTCCCTCCCGAACCGATACCACAGAACCGGCATAGGAAAAAACACCACCCAGGAACCGGCATCGTAGCGAAGGCACCGGCACCGAAGATCCCCGAACAACACCCAGCCCCACCCCGAAGTGGATCCAGTCCCGGGCCCCAGGGATCCGAGGCCCCAAGGGCGCCCGACCCCCAGACAGGAGCCCCAGCAAAGCCCCGGCCGGCCGGGGCCAGCGGAGAGGCCGCCAGGAATGAGCCAGCAGCCCCCCGGGCATCAACCCCCAGACCCCGAGCTCCACCAGTGCACCGGTGAGTCCTGACACCAGCCAACGGAGGGAGAGCAGGATGGGGGGAATGGGCTCCGCACTTAGTGGAGACTTGAGATGTATTTGGGAGAGGGTATGGTTGAGACCCCAACCTGGGAGAAAAAAACAAAAAAACAACAAAAACACACCATCTCAATCATGCCTTCCCTCCCTAGTGCCCCCACTCGTACCACAGAGAAAAAAAAAAACAATTTTAAATTAAATAATAATAATAATAAATAAAGAAAATAACAACGTGGACACACATTCACACATAACACTCACATCCAATAATACCAGGACCAAAAACCCGTTGACACCGGTGGTTGGATCCGGGACTATCGGATGACCCAATAAGTGAACCTAAAATCCGGATGTGGGGGGAGGGGAGCAGCGACACCGCCACACCTACCCATCTCATTCCTGCCCCAGCCAAAACCACGGACCAGGTGGCTTGCTCTTCCTCCAGGCCCCAGACTCCGGGCGGCAGCCGGAGAACAGGGGTGTGAGAAGACCCCGATCCTCCCTGCGCCCGCTCGAATGTGGTGTTGTTGCGTGTTGCTCTCAGATGCAATTAAAACTGGGAGTACCAAGAGGGGGTGTCCGGCACACTCCACCCCCCCTCCAGGAGATAGACGGTGCCAGCCCCCCCCCCCCCCTTCGACAACCCTCAACCCTCAATGTCTAGATGCGAGAGGGGATGGAGGAGGCCGAC